GTATAAAATCAAAACAAATGAATATGAAAATGATAATATTTAGCTTGAAATTCATGGTAAAAATCTGTTTATACATGTTCAATAATATCATTGAGAATGGTTGTAAAAAAGTATTAGAAGGAAATAAAGTGTTATATAAATTAATAACATCAGGCAGCCTTCTATACCAGTTAAGAAGATAATAGAACATTTAAAAAAAAAAAACAGACATGAAATGAGCATCCATCTGAAAGTATTAAAATGCAATGATTTCTTTCATATATTTAATAACAATAAGAACAAAAAACTTCAAAAAAGAAACTGCATTGTACTAAAAAAATTCCATTGAAGCACAAATTCTGTTTAAAACTCTCAGTGTTCAAAGATAATATTTTATCTTCAAAATACCCACTTCCTGCTTGAAAACACCAGGAAGAACATAATTTTTTCCTTATGTTAATTCAACATAAAATTGTATTGATTCAATTTATTGAAATAGCCTTTTACAACCCACTATGATCTTGTGTCACATCAGAAAATACTAATACAACTTATTTTGGATAAGCTCTAAATTTTCATGCATTATGTCAAAGATTGTCCTAATGGGTTGGTTGGTAGCAAATCAAGTGACTACTGTAGATAATTGAATCGTGAATAAAAATCAACTATTGAGGTGGGGGGAGAAGTCTGTAACAGAGAAAATGAAGAGTTCTGTTGACAAAACTGAGATCTATAAAAAATGTGGGGAGGCTGAAGTAGGAGAGATAAAAAGTAATACCAATAAAGCAAAACAGAAGGTTTGAAGCATAGCAGTTGCAACTTATCCAAGAGCAGTCAAGAATAGCACCCAGAAATTTACCTCCCACCATGATTGCAAGTTATCAATGAGAAAATCTCTTAATTTTGAAAACAGTATACAAAATGAACACCAAATGAAATATGTCTTATGAAAACTTTACATTTTAATAAGAATATATTCAACAAAAAATAAACACTTGGCCCAATGGATATAGTTACTATTTAAAATCACATTAACTCTAGCTTTTCCATTATATCTACTATAAGTAACAATGAAGAGAAAAATATTCAAATTGATGGCAGTGCTTCATGCAGAATAAATTTAGGTTAAACTCTAAAATATTTGTTTTTCTTAGATTATAGAAACAGTAGAGACAGTAAGATTAGCCAATTAATAGGTAATACATATGTAATAATTTGTTTGGCTATTTGTTATAGTCTTCAAAAATAAATATCTGAATACAAACAATTTTAAGAAATTAAAAATAAGAAATGATTTCTTATTTTTCTCTAGATCAGTTCATAAAATGAATTACATAATGCATATGTTTTAGTATAACACAAATATGTACTTGCTTTGCTACATAGAACATGTTGATTCCTTCAAATTTTTGATCTATATGTCAATCCATTCTTAAGAAAGAAAGAAAAATGTAGGAGGAAAGAGGAAGTTTTTAAAGTATTGTAATTTTCAATAATGTGTCCAGCAATTTCTGTAGGAGTTCCTTTAAATGTGGAAACTTTTAAGAAACTTGTTCTATTGGTTTTAGAAATGTAAGATCAGCCTTTAGCTTAATTTATACTGAAAATATTCATTGGGCTTCCTCCACATACCTTTTTATCCCTTTCTCTTGCTCTCTTCCCTCTCTTCCTTCTCTTTTCCCCTTCCCAGTTTCTCCTTCCTCTTTCTCCCCAACACACACACACACACACACACACACACACACACAGTGTTTAACTTTTAGTCCAAAATATCAAAGTTGTCCAACAAGACTGTCTAGAGAAATGGTACAAACAGTAACAACACACAATGAGTAAATAAATCAAATAGCCATATTGTTTATTGCCTACATTCCTAAAACCATTCTTATTCCAGATAAACCAACCGTGTCAGATTTAAACAGGTGTGGCTCCAAAATCCAAAAGAGAGTTTATTTCTCTCAGTGACTACAGGGAAGAACTGGGGGAAGAAAACAACACTAGTTTTATATCCTAGTGTGCAAAAAAGCACAGCTGTGTTTCAAAGGTTTTATATATCACTGTCCCTCTCTCACATACCAGCTTGGATAAAAGCATCCCAGAGGTTACAATTTTTCTCAATGAATCTTCCATATCCAAAGGTAGAAGCATTAAACACCATGCAGAGCCAGGCTGTGCTTTAACTTACAGTTGAGGCTTTAGTTTCATATTGTAGCAATTCATATAATTATACATTTGGATCCATGTTAGCCCAAGAGAGTAAAATTCAATAGTGTTGATATAAATTTTTATTCAAAACTTTCTATAAACTCTTTTTAATTAATACTATCTTCTGCATCAAGTTAAAAAAAAAAGAAAAAGAAAAAACAGCTTCACTAGACTACTTTGGAATAAAGTTAACCTGAGGTAGATCTAGGCTAATTGAATCCCCAAGGCCTGACATATAATAAACTATGCTTCAGGAACCAACTAGATCTTGATCAACTCAAGAGTATAAAAAACTATTAAAGGGGAGAAAAATACAGGTGTGCGCCTCATTTGAGGAAATTGTCAACTATGCTATTAAATAATGCCTGAGTCAAGTTACCAAAGTTGTGCAAGTTACCAAAGTTTTGCTTTATCACAAAAGTGACAGAATGAACAAATATGAAATCTATTTTAAAAAATAAATGAAAAAGCAATAAGTTTTCCAGTGAAAATAAAATTACTATCTTTTACAACTATAATTATCTCAATAAATATTAAGTTCATGGTGAAGAGCTACACTCTACATGTTCCTTTTTTTAAAGATTGTTTAAAAGTAAGTTTGATGATCTAAGAAAACAAGCTAAAGAAGATCACGAATCATTTTATTCTTATTACAAATGGTAATCCAGACAGCCTGATTTATGAAATCATAATGTCTATAACTAAATATGATAGTCTTACTTCCTTTTGCTATAGCAAAAAAACTTACTAAATGATGTGCTACTGAAAAGATATTATTATAATAATTTCTCAAATCCAGTCAAAATTTTACTCTCCAATGGAATATGATTTTAATTACAAATACCAGAACCAAGAAAAGGGAGATTCATATATTATATAGGAACCTCATAGCCCACCTTTCTTCTTCACTGGCATTCTTGGGTCTTTCACTGCCACCGGATTCAAGATCTCTTTTCAAGTCTCTGCTTGATCCAGCTGGATTGTGGCCAAGAGCCAGGTAACTGTTGCAAACCACTTCACCCTTCAATTTTGAAATCCAGGCCGAGTCTTCTATTTCAGATAAAGAAAATAATGATGTATTTTTTCCACAGCTAAACTTTCTACACTGCCCACAGTGTTTAGAGAAAAATGACTTTTGAGTTTTTCAATTTTTATAAAAGACGTACTTTTTTTTTTTTAAGCTGGTTATAAAAATTCCTCTTCGGGCAGTAACATTTTTGAAAGTTCAAGGACCAACTCAATTAAGGCACAAACCAAATTTAGACAGCTGTCTCATTACTTTATAAATGATCAAATTAAAAGACGAATTGGTTGATGATAAAGATCCTCAATTCTTAGAGAAAATATTAAATTCCCCCTTTCAAAAAATACTTTTAAAAACCTCTTGGAGTCTGATCTCTAAAAAAGGTGCGGAGTTTGAACAGTTTTCTCTGGCAGAACACAGACTTAAAGGCCCTTTTTGATTTAATGGACCAGAAGTTCCAGAGCTCACCCCCTCAGGTAAAACAGGTCCAGCTTGCTGTCACTTTCATTTTTTTCTTCTGCACTCTCCAAGCCCCCAAGGCTTGATCCTTAATGCCCCTCTGATTCTGATCCTCCCATGTATTAATCGAGAGGATTGAAACGAAGGAAAGCAATCCCTTGGCATGGAGACATTAAAGTGACAGTGCTACTCAATGGGCACTTGATGCAGGATGAGTTGGCGAAGCAGATTTCTTCACACTGGAGTCATTCACATCATGCCATCTCTTCGCATCCAAGCAGCTCTCTATCCGGCGAGGAAAAACACTGAGACTGTTAGTGAGGAAAAACCAAACCTTCCCCCCAGAGGTGTTTTCGGAGACGTTGTAGTAGGATTAGGTATGCAAGCATAAGCTGTGCAAAAGGTCCTCGATTTACTAAATGAGAGTGCAGCTGCTTGCCTTCCACATTCACCCTCTCAATCTCTCTCCAAACTACCCACCTTCCTTTTGGAGAAAAGACAAGCCATCCCTCTGCCACCGCTGGCCACCCCTGCCCAACCCCGATCTTATATAGGAGAGCACTGAAATGTCCTGCACCCTCCACGCGATGAAGTGTTTCCTCAGTCAGGAGAAACAGCAGCACTAGAAATTATATAACTCTCGAATTTGGCTTCTCTAAGACATGGAGACTGGAGGGTCGGGGGTTGCGGGTCTGGGAGATACTGCTGGGCATTTAACCAACACGAACGCGCGCCAGGCCTCTTCGTAATACCCTCTACCCCCGAAACACTGACTACAAGGGGTCTTCTCGGGAGACAAGAGGGGAAATTTTTTCTCCGGTCCCTTTCCAAACGGGGCGAAAGGATGAAATATGAGGGGACTAAAGCCTGGGGAGAGGAAGCTAGTCGGGCTGCTCTAACGGCGCTGGGGCGGAGGGTTGGAGGCTCTGAGGAGGAGGTGCCTGAAAAGTCAGAGCCGTGACACAAGGGCCAGGTCAGAGAGGCGACTCCCTGAAACTGTGAAAGGAGCGGGCTGCTAGCGCCCAGCTAGCCCGGTTGCCTTGAGAAGAGAAAGGCGTGCGGCAACATTCCTACGCCCAGCCGCCCCTTGTTCCCCTCAGGGTGGGATGAGAGGGAGGGAGGCTGACAAGCAGCAGGGGGAGGAATTACTGGGCAGGCAAGGGGGGGCGGGCCCACGGGCGCCTGGACTTCCTTGAAGCCAATGAATGCCCGTAATTTCTGGACGCCGAGCCCAATCCCAGGCCGGATGGAGGGCGCGGCTTTTGACTGGGTGGGGGCGGGCCCGGGCTTCAGGCAAGGGGTGCGCAGGATAAACCACCCCACTTCCCGCCCTGGGCGTTCTGGGGCCCCGCCCACCGGCGAGTCACGTGGGCCTTCAAAATGGCGGCGCACAGGCGACAGGCTGGGGCTGACCCGAAAGGTTCAGGTGCTACGCCGGTGGGAGACGGAGAAGCGCCCGAGGTAGGCAGAAATTCTTAGTGGTAAGGGCAGTGCTTTCCGCCGCTTCTAAGTGGTGGCCGACTCTTCTGAGATGATGCACCTACAGGATTTGAACATTTCAAATGAACAGCTCCCAACGAGGCAGGGCATAATCAAGCCGCCAGTCGCTTTAGAAATAAGCAGAAAATAGAAGACCTAAAATTTAATCCTGATTATCTGCAGCTTATTTTCTTTTGCTTCCGTACTTTGTATAGGCTCTTGTTTTAATTAGGAAACCCTCGCCAAATTCTCTTTTCAGATTTTCCCTTAAATGTTCCTTCCTCCAGGAAGCCTTCCCACATTTCCCCTATCTCAGTTGTTTGCTTTTTCTTATATTAAATGGTATCCTCATTCTCCCTTTAAATTCCCTGTTTTTATTCTGACTTTTCGGTAGGTTTTAAGTTCCCAAGGACATTGACTATCTGAGGGCTCTATAAATGATGAGTGAATGTTGATAAAATTCTGAAGGTCAAGTGAAATACACATAAGAACACAACAAACTAAAGCGCTTTGCAAACTATAACCCTACATATACGCACTCTCCCCACCCCCCTTTTTTTTTGTACCGAGGATTGAACTCAGGGGCACTCAACCACAGCGGCACACCCCCAGACCTTTTTTGTATTTTATTTAAAGACAAGGTCTCCCTAAATTGCTGAGGCCGGCTTTGAACTTGCAATCCTCCTGCCTCAGCCTACCAGTTGCTGGGATTACAGGCGTGTGTATATGCACTCTTACTGGTAAAAGTGTGGTGATCTGTTGAGTGATCTTTTCCTAGTTAATTTTTAGGTAAAATGTTGGGTGTAGCAAAATCTTTACATTTTAATACTTTTTTAAAAGGCTTTCTGGAGGCTAAGTGTGTAGCTTAGTAGTAGAGCGCTTGTCTAGCATTCGACAGGCCCTAGGTTCAATCCCCAGCACGGCAAAAAATAAAGTCTTTCTGAAAGTTACTAGTTTGTTTATCTGCTTTAAGGATGAGAGTGTAATGAAAGTAATCACTTCTTTGACAGTGCCTTGCAAAGATTAAGCATTCAATAAATATTCGCTGTCCTGTTTTCATTAGTTCAGTATTTATTTTCTAGTAAGCATAATACTTAGGAGGGTTCTTCTTCTTGTTATTTTGTTTTTGTTTTTTCATGTACAGAGCTGAGAGTATAGACTGGGTAGGTGTTACAACAAGACATTGCCTGAAAGTTTTCTTTTGGGTGGAGGATTGGTAAGCTTCAGTGAATTGGATGACTGCAGAACAAAAAATTTATGTAAGGTTTCTGATTAATCATGTTGACAGCCACCTTCACAGTACAGTAGATGGGTTAGGTATAGAATCTCCCTCTCATCTTTCTTTTTTCAGTAGTGTGTCAGAAAACAAAAGATTAAGTCTATTCCCTGAAAAACTGTAATTTGTTAAATATTTTACCTTTTTGGTTTTTTCCTAACCCCAGAAAATTTGAAGAAATTTTTCTGGATTGAATGCAGTTCTGCAATGATGCAGGGAAAGAAACTGATCCATTATTACTCATTGTATTATAACACCATAAGAAGGTTCAGAGGAGTCCTGGACTTCTGTGTTTATCCTATGGGGGATATGGTCTTTCATTAGTTAGAGTTAGTTTGGATACATATCACCCATTCAGCAAATGAGTATTACAGCAATGTTTAAGTCGTGTTCATAGACCACAGTCTTAGAAGTCTTTGGTGCTAATAAAATGCAGATTTTAGGCCTCACCCTACTCCTGTTGAATCCAAATATTTAAGAAGAAAGCTCAAGAGAGCTCATTTCAGATAAATGTACTGTGTTATTCTTGTTCATGCTAGAGGCAGAAAACTACTGATTTATCATCTTCTGCATTCATTAATCAATCTATTTTTAATTCTCTTGCCTAGGATTCCTAAAATTTGAGATTAAGTAAATGCCCTTGACTGTAAAAGTTTTTTAAAATGGAGATTGGTGTGATTTGTAAAGGGCTTTCTATTTTATCTGTTTATTGGTTAATCTGAAGAAGGTAAAAAAAAAGGTTGAACTTTGCATCAGTAGACCTTCCACTTACATAGTAAAGCCACAAATTTGGATTTGCCAGAAATGTCCCAGTTTCCTTGTCTAAATGAAATTAAACAGAACTCTTAAACTCCATGCCAGAATGGCACAATATTTAACAAATGTTATTATTAAAACTTTTTACAAAGATACAAATACCCAGAGCAGAACATTCAGGGGATACTTTCTGAGACTCCAGGGTTTTTTCCTCACTGATTTCTGTTAAGATACTACTAGCCAAAACCTTATGGTTCTTTGATGTTAGCAACTGTCTATTTATTACATTCGAGACATAGGACCCTTAGGATCAACCCCAGAGCCCAGTGCCATAAAGCCAGGCTCTGTGATGTATCATATAGCTACTTCTGACTAAGACCCTTCCTCTACCCTAAGTGCTACTGGAGAACTGAATGTGTAACATAAAAAATAAGGTAGCCATGATCTTACTTCTGACTAAGACCCTTCCTCCACCCTAAGTGCTACTAAAGAACTGAATGTGTAACATAAAAAATAAGGTAGCCATGATCTACTGCCTCTTCCCAGTTTGAAACAGTATCCCCCCCCTCTCTGATTTTATCTTTCCTTATTCTTGAAAGCAATCTCTGCTCTCTTTTACCCCTGTAGGAAATTTAACATAATATCCAAAATGAGCTCATGAGAGACAGAGGAAAGAGACAGTAGTCACCAAAGGGACTACTACTACTTTGCCACCTGAAGAGGTAGATCAGAGAGGGCACTGGCTACTTCCTTGGAATGAAAGGGGGAAATTGTACTGAAGACAAAAACTCAGTATCTCAGTCACTTATCCTATACTAAATCCCAAAGCAAATTAATATTTCTGAACCTCAGTTTTCTCATCTATAAAAGTAGAGGTGATCATAATTCTGCCAATTTCTTAAAGTATTGTGTGACTTTAAAAAGCCAGTGTCTAACAAATAATAAGAGCTCAATAAATGTTGATTGAATTATTCACTTAATATATGAAAGCAAATGACAGTACTTTACTGAACTCTAAATGTTTTTTAGTCTGAATCTGTAGAATTTTATAAGGTTTTATCATTAGCTATTATGGTTCTGGAATTTTGTGTTTTCCAGGACATCAAGATGGCAATTTATATGCATGGTCAGCCCAGTCTTTCTCTAGGAGATGCAAAACTCAGAAGACCAATGGTCATCGACATCATAGAAAGAAAATTCGAGTACCTTAGAAAAGAAAAGTAAGAGACAGAACTGTACTGAAAGTTACTAACTTCATTGGCAGATCTTTTGTATTGCTGTTGTTTCTGAGGATTATCTAAGAAACTGTCACCTTTATTGACTTGGTTATGAATAAAGCTTATTAAAAAATAAAACTAGAGGGAAACAGATAAAAATACTGAATTGTCAGAATATTGGGATTATGCATAATTTCTTTCACTTCTTTAAAAAAAAAAATGCCCAGAATTAGGGGCTGGGGTTGTGGCTCAGCAGTAGAGCACTCGCCTAGCATGTGCGAGGCCCTGGGCTCGATCCTCAGCACCACATAAAAATAAAATAAAGGTATTGTGTCCAACTACAACTAAAACAAAATATTTTTTAAATGCCCAGAATTATTGCTGAAACATTATTTGTATAGTAAATATTTTTTTAATTAAAAGTAATTAGGAGGGGCTGCGGTCGTAGTTCAGTGGTAGATGGCTTGCCTAGCATGTGTGAGGCACTGGGTTTGCTCCTTAGCACCACATAAAAATAAATAAACTAAAGGTATTGTGTTCATCTACAACTAAAAAAAAAAAAAAAAAATTAAGTAATTAGGAGAAAAATATTTGGCAGGTACTTATATTTCATTGATGAGCAGTTATGATTAAAATCAGTTTAGGATTGATGAATCTCAACCACAGTGCCAAGTACAGCAAAAAGGAATGTAGCTTCCATGATATACACAGTCTTAGTTACCATTTGGCTTTTAGATTAATAGAACTCAAGAATAAAGTCACGCTAATTAGAACAAATAAAAAAATAAAATTAAAAAAAAAAATAAAGTCAAAGGACAACTAATACTTAACTTTAGAACTTTTTGGATTTATTCATGAGTCCAAGTTAGTAAAACTGGATCTATCAGATCACTTTGGAAAAAGTTTATTTTTTTTCCCACTATTTAGAAAATATTAGTTTCTGTGTGGAAGAAGTTTTATAAATCATAGACAAGTTATTTTGAAAGTATCTGGGCTAATTAAAAAATAATTATTTTCTAGATAGCCTAAGCAATTTTTTTTCGTAGATTACCTTAAGCAAATTAATTATTTTAATAGCAGAAAAGGTATTCTTAGAAATAGGTATGTCAGTAGCCATAACATTTAGCTGTCTTGGAACATATTTATGTTTATTTGTGTCCAAGTTAATGGCCACAAAAGAGTTACATTTTGGAACCATCCTAAATCCTCTCTTCTCTTTAGAATGCAAATTCCATGATGAGTGGAATTTCTTTTCTTTTTTGGTTTGGTTTTGTTAACTACCCTATCCTTGACACTTCAGAAATACCTTTCACATAGTAAATGCTCAAGAAATATTTAATGCTGGCCAGGCACAGTGGTGCATGCCTATAATCCCAGCAATACGGGAGCTGAGGCAGGAGGATTGAAAGTTTGAGGCCAGCTTCAGCAACATACTGAGGCTCCATGCAAAAATAAAAAATGAAAAAGGTCTGGGGATGTAGCTCAGAGGTAAAATGCCCTAGGTTCAATCCCTAGTACCAAAAAAGAAAAAAAAAAAGGAAATATTTGATGAATAAATATATAACAACTACTATTGAGCAAAGGATACATCTATTATGAGAATATTATGTTAAACTTAATCATTCCTTTTGTTTTCCCTAGGACCTTAAATGTACCTGGAATGGTATTCCTTGGGACAACAGCTAGTTTCTTTGGAATATTTGCAAACTTCATTTTCAGATACTGCTTCAAGGTTAAATATGATGCTTTGAAGACATACGCACCATTGACTGCACTTCCATTTTTATCCACTATAGTTACTTATAAGTTCCTTGTAACTGATGCTTTGTATTCAGGTAAATTTAAATTCATGAATATATAATGTAGTTATATCTAAATAAAGTTACTCATTAACATATACTAATAGTAATCCCTTACATTTGTATTTTGCTTTACCACTTACAAGGATATTCACATATAGTTTCCTATTTGATCCACGCAACAATCCTGATCAGGCAGGTCAAGCATTATTGTTAATAAGTAACCAAAACTGATGCATGTTCAACTACTGAGAAACAATATGATATACTTAGAAAAGACCAGGCATTGGCATAGTATGCACATGATTTCAGATCCTAGTTCTCATCATCTCAGTTGTCTTATCCATGGATTAGAACTAATAGTACTTACCTCACATGATTGTTGTGGGAATTAAAGGATGCTTTTTGTTCAATGCCGAACATAGTATCTGGCATGCTATGGGCTTCTAATGTTATTTTCTGCTTCATTTTACCTTAAATTTTCCAGGTAGTAATTGATGGAGCCTCTAGTTATAATTCATTCATTAGATCTTTGTTTAAAGATCCTTTCCGCAGAGAAACCTCTGATTCCCTCATGATAGGTTAGACTTCTAGATAAATTATGAATACATTTTACTTCCAAAGCATTGAACACACTTGTATTTTTTTAATTATTTGTCTTTCCTCCCTGGTAGACTGGTCAGAATGTCTCAAATTTTATGTACCATTATATATCCCTAGCACATAGCACATACCTGACGCAGAGTAGATAATATGTGTATTAACCTAAAATCCAGGTGTCTGCATGCTAGTTTAGTATTCTTTTATGAAGTTGCCTCTATTCAAAGCACATACATAAGAGGTTATTCTCCACATAATAAAGTAAAAACCATTTCTAAAATGATATATTAAGTCTGCTATGTCATCAACTTTCAATTTCTAATCTTTTCTACTGTTTTGTGGTTGGACACAATACAAATAACTACTCTTTGAGGTAACAGTGCTTAACCTGAATTCTAAAGAGAGACTAAATTTACTTTTGTTCTCTAGGTAATATAAGCAAGGAAAATTGTGTTCTGAGAAGTTCACTGGTTGGCATAGCATGTGGTATTTTATATCCCAGTGCATTAGCTTTTTCTAAAAATGGACGTCTAGCAGTCAAGTAAGTTTCTCTGTTCATTCCTTTTCTTCCTTTGTTGTTTTTCTTCCTTCTTTTTTTAGATTAATAGACTCTTCTTATTCCTTAGATATCAATCATACATTCTAATGGAAACACAATAGTTTGATATTCCAAATAGCTAACATTTAATTTTTTTTACTATCTACATGATTAAACCTATAATGGAAATTATCAGTTTAGGGAAGATTGATGAACTTTTGTATTTTGGTATATTTTCCCAGGAGGTATTATTAACTATTTTTCATTTTTAGGTATCATACTGTTCCAATGCCACCAAAAGGAAGAGTTTTATTACATTGGTTACTACTTTGTCAAACAGAGATGAAAGTAATGGCAATTCCCCTAGTCTTTCAGACAGCATTTGGAATACTTATTGGCCTACAGCACTATGGAATGTTTGAGAAAACTGTACAAGAAGATTAATGAAAGAATGAGCTAACTCAGCAGAGTGAATTGTTTATGCATTGTTGAAAGAGTGAAAAGTAACTGTTTCTGTCCCTTTTGTCTAGTACGTAACTGATACTCAGTAAATATTTAGTAATTCAATAAATGTAAATGTAAAATAAAAGTAAGTTTCATATTTCTTTCCTCATTGAATGTGGAAATGGGTTTGGGCCTCAGATCTATGCAGTTAGATATTCTTCACGAAATATTTATCAAGTCCCTGCTATATCTCAGGACATAGAATAAGAAGTGGTCCTTAGGGCTAGGGTTAGAATGAGAGGGTTTGAGAAATACATAATTTGAGAGCATTCAGGAGTAGGGCTGCTAAGTACTTAAGCAGAAAGAGAAGTTATGGGGAAAAATAATATGAGCAAATTCTAAAGGAGAAATTGGAAGGTTACAAGAAAGCAAGGTATGAAAATAACATCCTGCCCATTTCCTCTACTGTAAACTCTCATTCAGTATATTAACTAGTTTCTTGTTTCTAAAAATTATCTTCATTATGGAGTTTTGTTTTTAATTTTTTTTTGGTTGTAGATGATCACAATAACTTCACTTATTTATTTTTTTATGAAGTGCTAAGCATCGAACTCAGTGCCTTACACATTAGGCAAGTGCTCTACCACTGAGCTAAAACCCCAGCCCTACAATGTAGTTTAAAGAATGTTTATTGCACATATATTTGCCATTCATTAAGAACCAAAGATGTAAAAATTCAGTTCTTGCCCTCAAGAAACTTAATATATAGAGAGTTCTCAAATGCTTCTTTAGACTCTAAAAACTACACATTTTTCTTAGTTCAGTAAATAAACACTGTTTGATGAGACCTTACAGAATAAATCCCACAGCGCATTCTCCTTGTCTTAACCATATTCATCTTTATATCAAAGCCTTATAATCTGGAAAATATGACAAGGTTGACCTTTGTTTACCTCCTTTGCCACCTGAAGTTGCAAAATACAAAATCAAGATACAAAAATCAGTAGCTTTTATGTACACCAGTAATGAACTTTTTCTAAGAGAAATCAAGATAGCAATCACATTTAAAATAGCTTCAGAAAAAGGCTGGGGTTGTGGCTCAGTGGTAGAGTGCTTGTCTAGCATGTGCAAGGCACTGGGTTCAATTCTCAGCACCACATATAAGTAAGTAAATAAAATGAAGGTCCATGAACAACTACTAAAAATAGTTTTTTAAAAAAATAGCTTCATAAACAATGCCCAGAAATGCATTAAACCAAAGAATTGAAAGATGTTTAAAGTGAGATTATAAAATAAAATTTAAAAAACTGAAGATGGCATTAAAAAAATTCTTCCATGGTTAGAAGAATTAATATTGCTACCAATTCAAAGTGGTCTATAAACTCGGTGTAATCCCCATCAAAATACCAATGACATTCTTCACAGAAATATTTTTAAAACCCTAAAATCTACATGGAACTACAAAAGACCCCGAGTAATCAAAGTAACCTGACTAAAAACAAAGCTGGAGGCATCATACTACCTAACTTATAAACATTACAAAATAGTGAAAATCAAAACAGCATGATCTTGTCATAAAACAGATGAACAGACCAATGGAACACGAAAGAGATCTCAGAAGTAAAGCTAAAAATCTATTGCAAATACAGTTTGACAAAAGTACCAAGAACAGAGAAAGGAGAGAGACTCTTCAATAACTGGTGCTGGGAAAACTAGATATCCACATACAGAAGAATGACACTAGAACTCTATCTCATCATATTCACATATCAACTCAAAATGAATTAAGGAATTTAAACCCTGAAACTATGAATCTAATAGAGGAAAACAAGAGAAACACTTCAGGCCATTGATATGGGCAAAGATCTTTTTTTTTTAATAAGACCTTAAAAGTATAAGCAACAGAGGCAAAAATTGACAAATGGGATTATGTCAAACTTTAAAATGCTTCTACACAGCAAAGGAAATGATAGATTGAAGAGACAACCTGCAGAATGGGAGAAATTATTACAAGCTATTCATCTGACAAAGGATTAATATCCAGAAGATAAGCAACAGCAAAAAGTGTTTTAATAATCTGTTTTTAAAATGGACATTGCTTAAACGTGGCTGTAAAACCAATGTGATACTGCAATCTATACACGTGGGAAAAAAAAGAATTCATACCCCACTTGAATCAAATGTTTGATATGTCAAGATCATTGTAATGTTTTGAGCAACTAATTAAATAAATAAATAAACCAGAACAGATATGCTAATGAAATTGGCAAATAGCAAGATAGCTGATTATTCTGTCTCAACCCATTACTCCGTATGTCTTAGTATCAATCACCTTGTCTGCTTTGTGCCAGTTGGTCTTATTGATCCATATTGTAAAAAGGAGACTAATTATCTTCAACAATAAGTTGTTAAAATATATGACTAGAAAGTTTTCAATATCAATTATGATCTTTAGTAATTCTTTTTATATATTCACATTATCCTCTTTAATTTCTGTAATAAATTTTGAGTTTATATAAAAAAAAATGGACATTGCTGGTGGGACTGCAAATTGGTGCAGCCAATTTGGAAAGCACTATGGAGATTCCTTGGAAAATTAGGAATGGAACCATCATTTGACCCAGCTATCCCACTGCTAGGTCTATACCCAAAGGATTTAAAAATAGCATACTACAGGGCCACATCCACATCAATGTTTATAGCAGCACAATTCACAATAGCTAAACTGTGGAACCAACCTAGATGCCCTTCAGTAGGTGAATGGATAAAGAAAATATGGTATATATACACAACGGAATACTATTTAGTATTGAAAGAGAATAAAACCATGGCATTTACAGGTAAATGGATGGAGTTGGAGAAGATAAAGCTTAGTGAAGTTAGCCAATCCCAGAAAAACAAATGATGAATGTTTTTTCTGATATACGGATGCTGATTCATAATGGGGCTGGTTGGGGTTGGGGGCAAGGGATGATTAGACAAACTCTAGATAGACCAAAGGTGAGGGAAGGGAAGGGAGGGGGTATGGGGGTAGGAAGGTCAGTGTAATGAGATGGACATAATTACCCTTAGTACATGTATGAAGACACAAATGGTGTGACTCTACTCTGTGTGCAACCATAGATAAGAAAAGTTGTGTTCTATATGTGTACTATGAATTGTAATGCATTCTGCTGTCATAATAACAAATTAGAATTTTAAAAATTTTAAAAATAAAATACTTGACCTTTCAAAAAATTAAAATTGATAAATGGAATAGACATTTCTCACAAGAAAACATACAATGACCAGGAAATATATTTTTAAATGTTCACTATCACTAATTGTCTGGAAAATATAAATCAAAACCACAATGATGTGTCATTTCACCCCAGGCAAAAATGGCTATTATCAGAGGCTGGGGTTATGGTTCAGGGGTAGAGTGCTCACCTAGCATGTGTGAGGCACTGGGTTCAATCCTCAGCACCACATGAAAAGTAAAATAAAGGTATTGTGTCCACCTATAACTGAAAAATAAATATTAAAAAATTACTATTATCAAAAAGACAAAAAATAAATACTTGTGAGGATGTAGAGAAAGGAGAACTCTCACACTAATGGTGGGCATATAAATTAGTACAGCCATTATGGAAAAGTTTGGAGATTCCACCCGAGGGGTGGGGGACCGAAATAAAAATATCATAGGATCCAACAATTCTACTATTGGGTTTATGTCTAAAGGAAATGAAATTAGTATGTCTAAATGATATCTGCACTCCCATTCCTACTATTTATTTTTTTAAAGATATTTTTTAGTTGTCAATGGATCTTTTATTTTATTTATTTATATGGGTGCTGAGGATTGAACCCAGGGCCTCACACATGCCAAGCAAGTGCTCTATCTCTGAGCCACAGCTCCAGCCCCAAATTCCTACTATTTATATCAAAAAGTGGAATTAACCTAAGTACCTATTACAGGATGAATGAATATGTTATTGGATGGTGGTAAAGCACCCCTGGGTTCGGTACCAAAAAAAAAAAAAGTGACTATTGAAAAATAATAATTATTTATTACCTGGCTTGTAACATTTGTAGAAGTAAATGTATGACAATAACACAGATGAGGAAGGAAGAAATGAAAGTATAAAGTAAGATTCTTACACTATATATAAAGTGGCATATTACTTGAAGGTAGGTTATGAGAAGCTAAAGATGTTGTTGTGGGTAGAATTGTGCTTCCTCAAATGTTTAGATCATAATTCAAATACCTATGAATATGTCCTTATTTGGAAACAGGGTCTTTGTAGGTATAATCAAGTTAAGATGAAGTAGATCAGATTACAATGGACCTTCATCTAATAATTGCTGTCCTATAAGAAAAGGGAAATTTGGGCACACAGACACACACAAAGGGAAGATGGTCACATCAAAGACACAGGGAAATACTGTGAATACAGAAGCTGAGACTGAAATGATGCTTTTAACAAACCAAGGGACACCAGGGATTGCCAGCAATCTCCAGATGCTAGGAGAGAGGCAAAAAACAGATTCTCCTTCAAGGCCTCCCTTAGAAACCAATCTTGCCAATACAGTGATTTCAGACTTCTAGATTCCCAAATAGTGAGAAAAAATATTTGTTGTTTTCATACTTTCTTACAATAGCCTTATGAAACTAACAGACACATGTTATACATGATAAAACAATCATTATAATTTTTAAAAGAATTACAGCTACTAACAGAGATAAAATGGAATTTAAAATTCAAATCATCAAAACATAAAGGCTGAATAAAGGAAAAAGGGAGAATAAAACAATAAGATGAATAGAAAATAAATACCAAGATGATAAACCTGAACCCTAGAATACAAAAAAAATCACATTATACATAAATGGTCTAAATTTTCCCTCATTAAATTCAGAAATTGTCAATTCTAGTAAAAGCTAAAATCCAACTACACATTAACTATAAGAACGTACACTAAATATGAAGATTCACATAGGCTTAAAAATGGAAAAGTTATATTATGCTAATACTAAATCAAAAGTAAGTGATTGGAGTGGCTATATTAATATTGAACAAGATAGGTTTCAAAGAAAGAATAATATCAAGAAATAAAAAAGTTATTCACGATGATACAAGAATCAATTGCCCTAAGTGTAATAAT